AAACTGGCGTTCTTTGTTGCCGCGTGCTAAAAACAAAGGAACTCTTCGGTCCTTCGGACCGAGCCAGCGTGAGACTGACTGTGACGTTTGCGACCATTCGCTGGAAGATGACTGGGATAAACCACGCCAGGAGGTGGAACTGGTCTCGTGATCTCTTGGAGCTGCTGATTCGTAGTCTCTGGTGACCTTGCAGCAACTGAGAGGCGTCGAGCGGTGGGCGGGGTGACCCTGCTGATAGAAATGTGCACACGAAGTGTCGCAATTTCGTCCGCCCACGTTGGGCGAAGCAACTGACTCGTTGGGACAGTATTCTGGTTGCTAGGATGCAGATTGTTGGATATTCGCCGGTTCTCTGGCGTAGCTACGAGAGGTAGGCTGTGCAGAGGTCTTCTTGGCCGACCTCTCTCGTTCGTTCGGCCGCGCCGTGCGCTTGGCGGCTCCGTTGGACCGGTCGGGCTGTTATTTGGCCCAGGGCCACAGTGTGGTTCCAGGATCTGCCGCAGCATCAAAACGGCGTGGCGTATGAGGTCCCACATTCCCATCTGTTGCCTCAGCCTCTAAAGTAGGTGTTTCTGATGGGCCACGACCGCTTCCTTTGTCTCTCCTGATCTTTGAGGCTGTGAAGTTGTTAAAGTGTCGTAAAATAAACGAGGGCTGAAGTGGAACGTCGAGACACGTTTCTGCTGCGATTCGAGCATTTCGCCCGGCTGCCATGTTGGTCTTCCTTTGGTCACTCGTTCAGGACGTACGACGTACGCCACATTTCGATCAGCCGGGGCCCGTTTTATCAAAAGTGAGATCATGACGATAACGTGGCTAGTGAGCAGGTCACAGGGGACCAACGCGCATGACCGTTGATAAGGACAAGGAGGATCGCGGAGTTGCCAAACTTCGCTTTACGTAATTCGTTTGTTCTCGCGATAACGTTCCGTTCTATGGATACTGTATAGCATCAAACCATCAACGATGATAAGGAGGAGTATTGTGAAAATCAGTCGAGTGGAAACGCGCGTTTATTTTCGAAGTGCTTTGCTTTTCTGCGGGGGGTCGCCCCCTCGTTGTGCCGAGACGCGAGAAGTCAGAGTGCAGAACGCGCTCTGACGCATTGTTGTGAGGTTGGTGATTTGCATCGCGGTGTTCTCGGAACGGATCTCACCAGCTCCAGGGACCCGCGTCGCAGCTGTGGTCGAGGCGAACAGCCCTCGTGTCTGCAGGTGTTTATTTCAGTGAAGTTCTCACAATGGACGGGCGACGCTTCGGCACAGAGTGTGACCGTTTGCGGGCTGCTTTCCTTTGTGGAAGTGTGAAATGGATTTGGCGCTGTATGTACGCCGAAGGACTTTGAATTCGGCCAGTGTTCCTTGGTCGACACGCACGACATCGCTCGTCAAGGAACACCGGCGTCTTCTAGCACTTTTCACGATATTTCTCGTTCGTTTTGTTTATCAATTCACTTTCACGTTTTCAGTTGCCATGCAAAATACACTAATGGGGCTTGGGCGTGAGGGTGACGGGACAGCTTAACGATCCAACCGCTTTTAACCAGTTCAAGTCTGAGTCATGTGACGTCACGCGGTCCCTCGGTTACATCGCGTAAGGATGTGCGTCTGTTTCGGATTTCCAAAGCCCGTTTATTCGTGTGACCCAGAGAATAACGAGCCCATTTTCCTTAGCGGCGTTGTCATGGAGACGCGGTAATTCCCCGGCCGCGTAAAGCCGAGGATTGAGCCTTTCCGATAAGATAGCGATCATGACGTCACAGCCGTGGCTTATTCCACGCAGCTGTCCCGAGGTTTTGCTCCTGTCAGCGCTCGAGGCCTCGTGCTCCGTCATATCAGACCACGTGACCCATTTTCCTTCTGCCCCTCTCTCTCTTAGCCATGAAGGAGAGACGTTGAGAAGCTGACGGTCGCTCACGTTGTCATGAAACTCATGTCTGCTCTGACATCCTCCACCCGCGCGATCTCCCCCTCACGTGTCTCGTCCATCTCATCCCAGACTTGGCATTTGTAATGTCTTATCCTCGTGGACCAACCAAACATCTGTTTTGAGAACGTTTTAGTGCCCTTCGTTTGTTTTTCTAATCTGGGTAAGTGACAGGTGCACTCTGGGTCTGTCGCGGCGCAACCTCAAAATGGCGGCAACCGAGCGGTCCGCCAGAGTTGAACGACGCTGAGCTAACGTGCTGTCTTGTGTCGTAGCGATGGACGAGTCGCCTCTCACCAGCTCGGCGTCCCGCCTGCCACCGGACGGTCACGAATTCCCGCCAAACTACACGGAACACAACCCCTTCACAGTGGGCAGTCCGGCACTGATAGAACTGGAGCTGGAGAAGACACCC